TTTTTTACGCTTCGTAAAATTATTGGAATTCGCTGTGCACGGTTTCGGGTCTAATATAATTTGTAGGTATTTCCGTAAATGCACCCGAAAACTAATTAAAACTATTCGCGGTAAACTATTATTTACGTAGTACACTTGAGTTCGTGCTAACCACGTCTACATTTTGTATAACGTGTGTTTGATTCGAATTTGAATTCAATTACTCTAATTGAAACGATTAATAAGCAAATGTTGCAATATTAGTTGATTAAAATGAATGATTTACATAGCGCACTGGCACTGCGTTGCAGACAACAATACTAATGGAACAATAAATATGTACACCAACCTATATACACATGTATTATTATAATATGCATTACTGTATGAGAGGTATGTATATATATTATATATATGTAAATCAAACAATACATTGAATAGTTCATTAAACGTTGTTAAGATGAAACGAAGAACAATTAATGATTGAAATGAATTGGATTCATCCCAATCGGTAAACGGTAATTATTACCAGCCACGACGGAACGAAAAAAAGCTGTTTGAAAATTACCAACATTCGTGGTTCTGTTATTGATGTTTGATACTTCGATGTAGGTTATAGTTACAAGTTGCGATATATCGGAGCGGATAGTCATTGGAGATTGTCAGTCACTTGGATAAAATAATACACAGTACTACAACAACAGTGCTACAGATGCGTTGTAACCATAACAATCGTATATTTTTCGTACAAGAGCGTAAATAAAAACAACGGTCAGGAAGATAAAAGTACATTTACAAATATTGCAGCAATTATAAGACTGATGAGGACAGTAAGACGGAATCCAATATTAACGATTTACAGCACGAATTTTAATATGAGCTTATTTTTTTGTTACACTCCGACTAAACGGTTTGGATGTACATATGTGATTGATTTAATAACAATATTGTGCATAATATTATTATGTTATGTATACGAATGCACAGGTTTTAGTGCGTACTCATCATAATATATATATATTATAATATAACAGTAAACGAATAGACATAATAGAAAGCGAACCATCTACATTTAAGAACATACATAAAAGATTTTTATATTTGTGTGAAACGGTAAATTACATATTGCGAAGTACAAAGTTGAGAGATAGACAAGTTGAAATATAATACAGACCTTGTACAAGACCTTTCGGATGTGTAAATTGAGAGGAAAGTCAGAAATCGTCGACCGGCTGACGATGATATTTTACTACTTTACATCACGCCAACAGAATATATTTATCAGAGTCCATTTTCCCCGGTGGCGACGAACACAAGCTAATTGTAACTTTTGACCTTAAATTCAGGTTCTCTGAAAACGAAAAAATTAATTCTAATCAATTAAAGCACATTTAAACCGATCAGTATGGTGACGCGATATTAGTTCAGTAACGAATGCTGCATGATACTAGTTTGGATAATGTTTATACGTCTAAGGTGCGAGTATATTAATTCAACCCAGTCGTCGTCAGGGGCCTCTTCAGTTTGTATCAACATAGCAATAATTGTTAAAACAATAATAGCAGACGTTTATCAATTCTGAAGTTATCGATTTTATTGCAAAATTATAATATATATTAAATTATTATACATTATAAATAATTGATAATAGCAGTCAACTCTGCGTATTTATTAAAATGTTGTTAATACGATTTGTTATGTGATGAAGACATTTCAGGGAGGGGAAATGTTGGAACTTAGAATCTTAGAACTCTAACACTGAGTATATGTCACTGGGTGTCATAACACAATAGCAATTAAATCCTATACTTTTAGTGGTTTTCGTTCAGATATACCGCGCTTTTAGGTATGGTATGTCTGAACGAACCACTGCAAAGACCTATATTAGTCAATATTTTGGTACTAAAAGCAACACTTGTACTTGTATTGAAGTGAATTCACTCCTCACTTTATTCGTGCTTCAGACGGACGACTAAAATATAATTGGTGTGATTATAACATTTTTTATTCAATTTCTACAATCAACATGTATTGAATTCGACATAATTGGATTGTTCATACTATTTCACATCACACAAGTAATCAAGATAAGTCTAGTTGGTATGAAGATTCCTAGATGGTTTAGATTATGCGTAGTAGGTACAAGACGTGTCGAGTACAGAAAGTGTGATGCATTTAATTTTATCTCCGTGTAAGAACTTTCGTGTGGGGATTTGTTATTTCAATTGGGACCTACATATTATATGTAACCGTTTACCTGCTGTGGGAACAACATACCAAAATCCTAATATTGTGGTATACCGTAAACGACCGAACAAGACGCGCGCATAATCGGGCAATTGTCGTACAAATAAGATATACCGATTACAACGTGATGACTGCGACTGAACAGATTATAAGACAAAGTCACTAGAGCAAAAATAATATGAATTTAATTATTATTTCAGAAATTATCGTTTCGAATGACAATATCAGTCCTTCTGTGAGACTTACACTTATTATGTTCAGTAGGAAACATAGTTGCAACAAACGAAAATTGTTTCTCCCATTTAATGTTGTACGAGGAATATATTCGGTCGTGAGGTGCGTACTCAAGAAAGTTTCGTTGCAAATCTCTCCCGTGGATAGAACTTTAAGTTTTAAAAATCATACCACATTTAAAATAATTGTACCTAAAAGATTATAAGATTTTCAATTTGTTATCCTAACATACACACTTTGACAAATGTTCAAAATTTAAATTTAAATGTCAAAAAAAAGATAAATATATTTAAATAGGTACTTAAAAGTTAAGGCACGGTCGAATGATTTAGATAACTCGTCACTCGTGCATGATCTAAACTTTACTGTTAATACCTAAAGCATCAACTACAAGAAATATACAAATTATCAAACTTAAAACACATTACAATATATTAATATGATCTTTTACATAGGCGCAATTGGGTCTTTACTAGATACTCTTATGATGTTTTTACTTTGAGACTAAATCCATAACAAATGTTCTAGTTGCTGCAGTATATACTATGATCTACTATGGTAATGAGTAATGACATAGATGATTTTATGAATTTTACAGATCTTAAAATAGAGATGAAACATTTTTCATACTATATTGCAACGAATTATGTAGTGCAATTATAAGTTTCGGAGAGGACTACCGCAGTTTTAAGGATTCTAAGCCAACAGCCCACTCCCCTATTTGGGTCTACTTGTAATTGTTTTTTCAAATCATCATGAATTGTTATTACTAATAAATAATAAATAATATTATTAATATTCATAATTTATACGATAAAACCAGAACAAAATATACTTTAGGCGTATGTATTATTTTTTAATTTGAAAGCAAGGTTAATCTTTGCATTTGGAAAACGATTCGGTAGACTGTTATTTTAATTTTATTTTATGTTTCAAATGTTTACGTGGAAATAATTTATGAGTAAATATTGTTGAACATTTATTAAATACCACGTTTAGTGACTGTATAATAATAATATTATAACAGTGACCTTGCGTATAAAACAATTTAAAGTCCAAACCCTAAAACAATCAAAAACAACAAAATTATATTAAAAGGAATCTAAAAAATAATACAGTTGTAACTTGTAGCACATTTTTTTTAAAGTGGGTGGGTTCATGAAAATGATTTATATCCCAGCGACTTCAAGACAGTTTGGCGCCTGTAGAACCCCTCACCACAACAATATTTTTAACGACTTTGAGTAAACTATGTTCGTTTTAACGGAAGTAATTGAATGCGTGTGGCAATGTACCTACGACCAAACTGTCAATATAACCCTCCAGAAAAAGAAAGCAGCAGCAGTTTAGTTTTCTGTAAATCAAACAATAAAAACAATAAACATTTTATAAATGATTGTTCACGATTTATGTTCAGCTAGACTTGGGCTTGCCAACTTTTGAAATTGGATTAAAAGAACAACCACGTTGTTTTTTTGGGGGGGAGGGGGGGGGGGGGTAAATCACCCATTCGTAAGGAGGAGCGAATGGAGCACTTTTCTTCACCCTGGAAAACCAGAGGTTACTATGACAACCAGAATGACTATTTGTTTTCTTGTAAAACGATTTATTTGATTCCTTGTTTTTTTTTGGGCACAACTATATTCAGCTAAGTTAGGTACCACTTATCAAGTATTTTTTATTTGGTGGTAAGTGTTCTTCGTGGTGTTAACTATTGTGTTTTTAACTTGTTATATTATAGTAAAAACAAAAAACATTTATAAAATAAAACTTATTTATTTTAGAATAATTATAGATTTTTATATTCTTGGAACTTCAAGGGTCGGAACTCCATGACTATCTGCCCATTTCATAGCTGTTCTCAAACTATATTATAATCATGCAAAATATAAATATATTAAAATTAAATAAACCGGGTGTACAATGCTGAAGTTGAAGCATTTTTTCTACTGTGAAAATTATGTCTCCGGACACAAAAAAAACAGAAATACGTCATCATTGTAAAATCAATACATTCATCGCTCCGTTCAGAATCCAAAATTATGCACATTATTGAAAATTATTTTTTAACTCACTTTGTATGGTGCACGATGATTGACCTCGCATGCATAAAGTGATAACGTAAGAGCAAAATTAAAAATATATATTATTTATTGATTAAAATTAAAAGGCGATATATCGTTCCAAGCACGTCATCTTTCGATACAATCCTGCGTATCGTGTGGTTATGCTGAATACGTTTTTGAAATGTAATCAATATAATACATTTTATTATTAGACTGATCAATTATGTACACTGTAGAATAATGTGTATTTTACGAATGTTATAAACACAACATTACCGGGTGACGAATGACTGAGCGACGGGTGTCTAAAGTCGGTAACGAATAAAATTGACGGGTGGCAAATGGTGACTGTTCATTCACCGTTCACCAGATATAAAAATGTGTGTGTGTGTGTGTGTGTGTGTGTGTGTGTGTGTGTGTCTTCGTTTGGCTTTCAGCTATCGACTTTGGCGCACCCATCGTTTTATTTATTTCTGTCCGTTTTCAAGGCGCGGGCGGTTGAAATTTAACGGAAATTTCTCACGCTACACATTTCTTTAGTGGGTTAAGTCTGGTATTTTGATTCTTTCCTGACAACAAAAAAAAAAAAATATTTTCAATTTGTAAAGACTTGTATTTTACTACTATTATCCGCGGTTGTTGCAGATATCATAATATTTCCCACATAGATGCAGTTACAACTGCCCGTTGTTGGTTAAATTGGCATCGCGTTTAAACTTCAACACACTCGTGCTGTTTGCACTGGGTCATGCATTTCTCAGCACTATATTTGTATAAATTAGGTAAAAGAAATGTGCTTTTTGTTAAGATCGATATGGCTTATTATATTCTGCAGTGATAATTTAATATTGTAATTGGCAGTACTTATGTAATTTAGTTTCGTGTTATTATTCCCACTTGCATGTATACGATTTTGGGTAAATATAAATACAACAAAGAGAAATGTTACTAATAAATTGAAATTGTACATCGTTACTTCATCTAAAATTGCCTGCAATAGAATTTTTGATTGGCTTTAAAGGTTTTTAGTACTTACGCCCAAATAACATTATTTTATGTGATTATGTAGGTTGGTTATTAATATCTTCAGACTTACATAACGTCCACGTGAAACATTCGGATTTCATAGAAAGACTGCGAGACGGCTAGACAATGCTTCTAGTTCCGACCAATTCGAACAATATTGTACGTAAAAGCATACGAATAGACTATAGGACTGATATACGTCGTTATAACGTCTGCAAATATAATTATAAACGTTAAAAAAAGAAAGCTGTAAAACTAACACTAGTTATATCATCATAATTGGCTCTTAACAAGACATAAATTCGTACTAAATTATATTGTAATTTTTGCAAACAAATTGTTAATCAGATGGCTTTTTAAAAATGTTGATTAACAAACAAAAGATAAGTTCTTAAGTTATTTGACTTTGTATACTAATATGGGTTTACGATAATAGGTTTGGTAGATATGGGGGAAATGATGATTTTAAATTTTTAATGAAAATTATACTATTAATATTTTATAATCTATGAAAATTGTCCTAGAGTAATAATAATACTAAATCCAATAATATTATATATTATTATACTTGATGTGTTTGTGAAAACCATTTATTATTATTAATAAATATTAATATATATATATATTTATTATTAATTTTTTTTATTATTTTTTTTTTTTCTTATAATAACTGGGAAACAACACGTTCAAATATTAGTTTAGATACATAAAAATTTTCAAAAAAATCATTCTCTTTGAGTATTAAAAACAGGTAAAAAGGGTTGGTTCCCATATGAAAAAATAAAATTTTTATTCCTTAAATTTTATGAAAATCCAACCAATCGAAAACAGTATGGTCCTAGAGTATACTCGAAAGTCCCAAAAATTATCATTAGAATAAGTTGATTATTAAAATAAAATGTCGGGGTGTGCACAATTGTTGTGGTGAATCACCCTGTATTGGGTGTCGGTAGAAATCGCGACGGTCCAAGGCCACGTGGGCGAATGAAAGGAGACGATAATAGTATAAAAACCTCACTCGTTTCAAATGTCACACGCGATCGCCTGTACGGGGCGGTTTCTCATTTCATTTCGACTGCAATCGCGACGACGGCCATTAATGAGATTTGGCCGCCTCTGGTTCCCAATCGAATTCTCACACACACACTCGCAAGTATATATACGACCCTTGACCATACAATATAATCTCCGGAGAAGATTTCGGTGGGGGACGAGGGGCGGCGTAGTCGTTTGTCCGAACGTCGAAACACCCTCAGTTCTCATACGCACACACACACACACACACACACACACACATATACTATATGTATAACGATAAAACATAATTGGTCGGGCACGTCAAAACCAGAAATCCTCAACGAAGATCATATAATATTGTATTATATTATTATTATTATACACATTTGTTGCAGGTCTCCGCCACGGTGTCAGCATCGTCCCAAAGTCTGCTCAAAACGTATAACTATATGATATTACTATACAATATGTTTCATGGCACGCCGAAATAAACTATCGAAGAATGTACGACACAAAATTAAGTATTAACCAATTGTTATAATTATTAAATATCGTCGAACTCGTCGAGTTCATAATCTACGAGACTACGGACTTTCCAGAGGTGTACATTATAATATTATATGTAAACCCGGTGTGGCGGCTTGGGCTCGTCAATGTTTGTACCTATATAAAGAAATGTTTCTCTAATACATTTACACTGCATTTATAATTATAAGAGGAAAAAAATCAAAAATATAAATATTCGAAAACATTTTTCATTTTAATATGTCTCCACATTCGATAAAATTATGTTCTAGACCAATAACCCACCTTAGAAAATGCTCTATAATTACCTATACCTAAATAAATTTATTTTTCAATTTTGGTAATTTTAACTAACATAACTATTAATCCAGAAAATCATAAATAATATGATAACACAGCAACTGTGACGCCCGTAGTTACGGTTATCGCATCAAAGTGAGGCGAAATAATATTTTTTTCCGTTGACCGGTACAAATAAAAATAATTTGATATAGTGCGGGGAGAGCCGAATAATATATGTTTACGATTACGATAAACCGAGGTAAATGAAGGATCAACTCAGAGATAAACGTTAATTTGTCGATTAGTTACCTATAATACCAGTTGGCAGTTATACTAATATTTATCGATGAAATTTCACCAAAAAAGAGTCAGTGTAATGTCCCAGTTGTAAGGGAGGTCATATCTCGATTCTTGAGGTAATAATGTTGAAAATATGAGGCATATGTTATGAACCAACCTCTTTTAAAAAAATGTTATCCATAATTAAACTTTGAAAATCAAGTGCTACCAGTGTCCGATCTTGCATAGAATAAATCATGCATAATGCCATGAACAAAGTGTCGTAAACATGGGCGCCCATTGGGGGGGGGGGGGGCAAGACAGGGCACTTGCCCACCCTTGGAAAAAATATTATGAACTTGTAGCTTAATAAATATTACCACAATATTACCTTACCACCGAGATTTTTTATTTTGACCCCCCCTAAAATGTTACCTATGGGCGCCCATGGTCGTAAACGAAACGCATCGCATTATAATTCTATATCATATACACTACCAGTGCGTCACATTATTTTGGAATACAGCTGCACAGTCATAAACAGGTGGTTATTTTTTTTTCTGTCAACACGTTATGGACAGTATAACATGGTGTAATCGTTTTATAACTCGTATTTCGGTCTACACTTGATGACGTTTTTTCCATGCCATTTACTTTTAAACTTCTGTACTTTTTAATTTTTTCGGCGCACAGCAAAAAAAATTCAAATTGTATATCGACTCTCCGAAGCCGTGAGCCGGTAGTAATAAAGTATTATGTACATGGCTGTACAAAATGGTTCAATTATAATATGTTTGCACGTGTGTAACCATAACATTAGATTATCATACTAGTGTAGATATATGCTTTGAATTAAATAGAAATACCAACCGAAAATTTATGGTTCTTCTTTCGTGGACTGTAAGATGTTTGATAAAATATAAAAACACGGCATATGACTGTGGCGAAAAGGTGGCGGTAAGTTAGTAACAATACTTACTGCAGTTGACTAACACACTATTACTACTTTTGGACAAACTGTATAGGTACAATAATAATAATCAGTGAAACACAATAATTCAATTAATAATGATAACAAAAATTAGTTGATGATTAAAACTAATATAAGGCCCGAAACGCATCATACGGTAGCGACGATGTCCGTTTGGAATACTGTAACTTTCCATAAACTGGCATAGTGGTGACAACTATTATAGGTAATTACCTAATAGTAAAACGAACGGTATCCATGGTTGATACCAGCTCCAAATTGCGTAAACCGTAGACGCATAGTCAATCCACTATGTTCAATGAACCGGTTATTCAAATATATAACTAATGTATGGTACAGAGGAGTAAACATTAGAATTATTACGAACGGAACAAATGTTACATGATAATTTACTAGCTTCTAAAATGTTAAAAATGTCTCCTTGTATGCTGTGTCTATAAGGTTCTGAATTTGAAATACGTCAATGAAATTGTGGAAAATACTTTTTTTGTTGAATACATAATTGGGTATTTGGAAATGATTATTGATTATCAGTGTCGGTCTAGCCATAACCGGTTCCCATCTGCTGTTTTTTTTTTTTAGGATCTAGTAATTTTTTTATTTGCTTGGCGTGTTCTTGTCCTACGCAGGGATGATTACGACTCCGCAAAGAATTTATCGAAATTGTTAACGATGCGTAATTGCAACTCGAAATTTTTCTTTACGGAGTCCAAAGCTAATCATTGTTATTCGGCACTGATGATTATTGATTACACACAGAATATATCGATAATGAATGACTTATCAACCAAGGTTTACAAATAACAATGCCAATGATTATAAATTAGCTATATGCATGGTATTGTGTTAACGGTAAATATTTAATTGATCACTTATCATTATTCTTATGAAATTTTAAAACCTTAGTTATATGTATTGACGTTATTATTGTGAAATAATCAGCCCCCTCCTTTTCGCTAGATCAGAAACCAGAGCAGTAAAATGTCAGTAAATTTTAAACTATTTTATTCTGGGTTCATCGGTGGACGTGTTTCTAACTCAGCATTCTTCCTATCATTGCGAATTATATTTTAATATTAAATTTATATTTTTTATTATGTCCAAAAACCAATACGACAGCGGTGTAGCTAAATAGCCTATCAAAAACGCCGTGTGTTCGTCATTTGAATATTAAAATATTATAATAGATGTAATATAATATTTTATGTTAATTTCAAATCACTGTTAGAATGCGGATTTCTATTAAAAACATTTATTTATATTAAATGTGAGTGCAACTGAGAATAATATATGTCAACAAATCATCTAGTACAAAGAATCAAGAATGTGTTTGCATCATGAAAGTCTATAATATTCATTACCTTATGTAGGTATACCAACGAAATACTACAATTAATATTAAATTCCTAAATATAAAAGGAACCCGGTATTAAACGATTTTCAATAGATTGCAGTAACACGAAACCCCGAATCGTGTGTAATATAGGTATATATAGGTACTATTATACTCCATATTGTGAAATTGTGGTTATAAAATAACCGAACAATCGAATCGCCTTTCAGCTTTCAGTAATCAAAATTTTATTAGATTATTGAATTTCGATTTGAGGATACGTCTTGTGAACTACTTTTATTTTTATTTTGTAAAATAATGTCAATATGGATGAATGTTTTTTTTATAAAAATACAGTTTGCTGTTCACCAAAAACAAAAATATGGTTATGGTTTTAAATATGTCCAAATATTAAGTAATTATAAGTATATATGTTTTCAATATTAGTTGTAGTTCTTATCATTTATTTTGATATTTTTTAGTTATTTGATTATTACTATAATTTATTGTATCTAATTATTATCGACTAGATATCGCTTATAAGATCAACCGCCCCTAACATTGGGTCAAAGGGCGTATTCAAAAATAAAATTAAGCGATTTAATTTAAAACCCACTTGTAATTTAATGTGGAGTCCTTCCTTCAACTGACTGAAACATTAATTATTTTCTGATAAAATACTCGTTTAGGGCAAATATATATTTTTTTCATAATTTATTTCTAAAAACTCATTCTTCTGTTTTTTATAGATCCGCTGTATAATTATTGCAGTACTATA